ACACACACACACACACATAACAAGTAATTAGTACTTTATTTCTGTATAATTTCTGGTATATATCTCACCTCTGACTATACTCTAGGTGGTGAGTCTGTTTTCGGAGATCGGCGGCATGTTTGGTCTGTGCATGGGCATCTCCATTCTCACCGTCGCCGAGTGCTGCCAGTTCTTCTTCATCTTCCTCGTCCGCAAGTGTAAGTCGCTCAGATCAAACCAGGCGTGGCCCTGAAGGCGTTCATATAGCCTGAGGGAGTTCATGCATGTCTGAGGAAGTTCATACAGGCCTGAGGACGTCCATACAGGCCTGCGGGAGTGCATACAGGCCTGAGAGAGTTCATACAAGTCTGAGGGAGTTCATACAGGCCTGAGGGAGTTCATACAGGCCTGCGGGAGTGCATACAGGCCTGAGGAAGTTCATACAGGCCTGCGGGAGTGCATACAGGCCTGTGAGAGTTCATACAGGCCTGCGGGAGATTATACATGTCTGAGAGAGTTCATACAGGCTTGAGGGAGTTCCTACATGCCTGAGGATGTTTATACATGCCTGAGGAAGTTCATACAGGCCTGAGAAAGTTCTTACAAGCCTTCGGGAGTTCATACAGGCATTCGGAAGTTCATACAGGCGTGAGGGAGTTCACACAGTCCTGAGGCAGTTCACACAAGTCTGAGAGAGTTCACACAGGCCTGAGAGAGTTTATACAGTCCTGAGAGAGTTTACACAGGCCTGAGGTAGTTCACACAGTCATGAGGAAGTTCATACAGGCCTGAGAGAGCTTATACAGGCCTGAGGGAGTTCATAAAGGCCTGAGGGAGTTCATACATGCCTGAGGTAGTTCACACAGTCCTGAGGAATTTTATACAGGCCTGAGAGAGTTCACACAGGCCTGAGGAATTTTATACAGGCCTGAGGGAGTTCACACAAGCCTGAGGGAGTTCATACAGGCCTGAGGGAGTTCATACAGGCCTGAGGGAGTTCACACAGTCCTGAGGTAGTTCATACAGGCCTGAGGGAGTATATACAGGCCTGAGGTAGTTCACCCAGTCCTGAGGTAGTTCATACAGGCATGGGGGAGTTTATACAGGCCTGAGGTAGGTCGCACAGTCCTGAGGGAGTTCATAAAGTCCTGAGAGAGTTCATACATGTCTGAGGGAGTTCATACCGGCCTGAAGGAGTTTACACAGGCCTGAGGGAGTTCATATAGTCCTAAGGGAGTTCATACATGTCTGAGGGAGTTCATACCGGCCTGAAGGAGTTTATACACGCCTGAATAAGTTTATACAGGTCTGAGGGAGTTCTCACAGGCCTGAGGGAGTTTACACAGGCCTGAGGGAGTTCATACATGTCTGAGGGAGTTCATACCGACCTGATGGAGTTCACACAGGCCTGAGAGAGTTCACACAGGCCTGAGGGAGTTCATACAGGCCTGAGAGAGTTTATACATGTCTGAGGGAGTTCATACAGGCCTGGGGGAGTTCATACAGGCCTGAGGGAGTTCATACAGGCCTGAGGGAGTTCACACAGGCCTGAGAGAGTTTACACAGTTCTGAGGGAGTTCATACAGACCTGAGGGAGTTCATACAGACCTGAGGGAGTTCACACCGTCTTGAGGAAGTTCACACATGCCTGAGGGAGTTTATACACGGGGGCAGGGCGGCTACGTAGCGGTGCCTGTCTCCTACCGACGACGCACTTAAAAGTAGCACTCTTCGAATTACGAAAAGTGCGAAGATTACGAATTAAATTTAACTAAAATAAATTAAATTAAATTAAATTAAATTAAATTAAATACGAGTTATTTACACTTGTGAATTACATTTCAAAGAATAATTACGAGAACGAATTACAAAGATTACTTCGATTTACACTTTGAATCCGAGTTTCCAAGAAAGTAAGCGGGAGGGATGTATCGCGATTTCTTTTCTCTAGCGTCTGATTGCTGGAGTGAGTAAGGACACGGAAACGAATGTGTTGCGAGCCTTGAGTATTAATGCTGTTCAGAAAACAGAATTATATTATTAAGTTTGTTAAATTAATGCTGTTCAGAGAAGAGAATTATATGGTTAAGTTGTTAAATTTATGCTCTTCTGTGATTATGGGGGCACACACGCGCGTGCGGTGCGTGAGTGCGTATGTGTGAGAGTGTACGCAAGCTTCTAGGTATATTACCGCATCTTATCAATTATATAATCGAATCTTATATTCTTTTTCTAATGCTGTTTGAATAGCTTGCGTTTTGTAATTGCTTCGAGTTTGAGCACAGATCTGAACGTGTATACATCAATGATATACGTCGAAATCATGCATTATTACGAGAATTTATATAAATTAACTTCACTTGTGTATTTTATATACTTCATACATCGTATAAACGATTGAAATCAAAGCGTTGTGTAAAAGATATAACTGTGCCTCTCCATTGCCACGCATAAACATTGATAATATTTAAATATATCTGTTAGTTTTTTGTTTGAATGATTGTTTGTTTGTTTGTTTGATTGATTGATTGATCGAATTATTGAATGGTTGATTAATTCATTAATATATAGATAGATGGATAGATAGATAGATAGATAGATAGATAGCTAGATAGCTAGATAGATAGATATATAGATAGATAAATAGATAGATAAATAGATAGATAGATGATAGATAGGTAGGTAGATATATAGATAGATAGATAGATAGATAGATAGATAAATAGATAGATTGATAGATTGATTGATTGATTGACTCCGAGATCGGTGTCGTATTTGAGCAGACGACATGGTTTGGGGCAATGACGTTTCTCGCAGATCATATACATGCCATAGATGCGTGAACGGTAGAGTGTTTAGAAGTATCACACGCATACGTTCACCGTCGCCTCAGTATTATCTCAAGCATCGGTGCTCACTACGCGTGGGCTTTATGTAACAGAATGACGAGCCTACTACTTATTTTTCAGTAAACCATAATTATTATCGGAAGGTTTGCCGTTGTAGCATGTGTAGCGTTTCGTATCTTCCTGCGACACCCGATGGCGCCACCGGTCGACACTTAGTGACTAGCACACAACCTTAGGTCTTTCACTCACCTGCTGTGCCCGGAGGCGTTGAACTGGCCGTATCGTCGCCATCTGGACCCCGCTAGCCACTCGAGCGCCCCAGTGCTACTGCGCTCCCGCAATAACCTGTTCCGCCGTGTTCCGGTTCGGTGCGTCGTAGAGTTAGTCAACAGTGCGCGACGAGGGGCGACACACACCACAGACACCACAACGGGGTAACCACACCCTTGCCCGCTGGCCTTACGTTACGTTGAATAACAAGTGCATATCCGGGGTAAGCACAGAGGTTAAACAACTAGAATGAACTATGAACGCAGCCGGGCAAAGGCCTACAGTAACTGGCAGCCTCTCCTCGCGTGCAGCCGTGCACGAGAGTTAATACTTCTCAATACCCGTACTCTAGTCTAGGAATATTAATCCAACCTATTTAATATTCGACTACTACAAGTACTGTATTACTTACTCGCCCCACAACAACAAGACAATACGACAGTGCTTACTCACCAATTAACCGACGCGCCTGTCTCTCTCACCCCTGAGACAAGGCACACGCCAAACACCCGTGACCGTACAGTATCTCGGGTACCCGTACGCTAACTGTCACCATACCCGCCATGCATACGCACGGGGTGGACGCGGCTACATATACTACGTGACGAGTCTTCCCTCACTCGGCTACCGGGACAAACTGAACTACAAGTTCTCCCTCAACCGATTCCCGAGCCGAACTGCGTACCGTGTCTCTCCACACGGCACTACACTAGCTGTTCACACGGCCCGCGCCACTAACGGCCGCTAGAGGGGGTGGCTAACCCAACATGGCTGCCCCCATGTAGGGACTCGACTATCTACATCGTTAATTGATGAGCCGGCAAAACACCACGAAAACGCACACTAATAGACAGCAGACATCACAAATAATTATACAGTCACAAACATGGATCACCCACACTCCGGTTACCAGGGAGCCACCCTGCTAGGAACCCGAGAATCCGGTGCCACCGCTACACTTGATATACATTCCCCTCATGGCAATCATCACCCTCTCTATTGTGCATGGGTAGATGTCTAATAAGGCACATGGCCCATTACGCATGCGCATGGGGGTCTCACCTTCATTCGCTCTTGCGCAGTGTAGTAGGCAACGTTTTCAATAAACGGAAAGGAAAACGCCTGCGCATGCGCGATCTTCTGCGTTATCTCGTACGTGATATAGATGTGATATTTACTTCAAGAGTCATTGGCAAGGAAAACAGTGGCTTTCAAACCGTTAACAACGCCACACGTATAATATACATGCACCCACAACTCACGCAATTCAGACAACATAGCATTATATATATTTTCGACGTTCAAGCAACGAACACTAGCTATCACGATAGGCATGAAGCGTCACGTAAGTCTAATTAATTACCACGGACCATTGTACAGCGTATCCATACAGCGCTGTACTTGAGCGGCAGCGGTGTGGATCCATTTGGAAACAACATGGCGTCCAGCGATCACGTGATCGATTTTTTCCGACTCGTCATGTCGCAACTCTCTGTATATAGGAACCCTAGTTATTGCCTGACTAACGCGCCACTTATGCCGTTATTTATCTCTGGTCTGACGTATCGATTTGCATGATCGCTGCTTAGTCTTCTACCGTAATAACTAACCATAAGTAATAACGGACTTTGTCCACACAAAAAACATTCTGCCATAAAAAATGTCTGTATATAAGTATGTATATAAAGCATAATGCACGTGAAAACTAGTCTGAGAGGGGAGATTGGAAGAGTTGGAGAAAGAGGAAAAAGAGGGGCAGCGACGGAGGAGGCAAAGAAGGAGGCAGAGGAAGATGGGCGAAGAAAGAGAGGCGAAACAAGAAGAAGAAGAAGAAGAAGACGAAGAGGAGGAGGAGGAGGAGGAGGAGGAGGGGGAGGAAGAGAAGGAAGAGGAGGGGGAGAAGAGGAATATATATACTAGCGGGATACCCGGCGTTGCCCGGGGAAATCAGTGGCGTTACTCAGTTGGTGACCGCTTGGTTGAAAGGAAAATACCCAAAAAAATCTAACTATCTATCTATCCATGCATCCATGCATGCATGCATCCATCCCATTCCATGCCATCCCATCCCATCCCATATCCCATCCCATCTCATCGCATCTCATGCCATCCCATGCCATGCCATGCCATCGCACCGCATCCCATCCCATCCCATGCCATCCCATGCCATCCCATCCCATGCCATCGCATGCAATCCCATGCCATCCCATCCCATCCCAAAGAGTAAAAAATTATAAGAAATCAAAAGATGAAAGACATTAAATATAAAAAATAATACATACTAAAGAGAGGGAAAAAAGGAAAAAAGGGAAAAATAAGTTCCCCAGCTGGAACTTGAACCGGAATTAACGATTAGGCCACTGCGCCGTTAAGGGTATACCCATGGATTCACACGTACGTGATGTTAATCTGTACGCACCGCCATGTATTGATGAATAGAATTTTTATGAATTTTTAACTTTTTAATTTTTTTAGAACCTCCCAGACGTGCTGATTCTGAAAATATATTTAGTTTTCCTCTAGGCTACGGAGTTCTCTAGTTATGCGAGTACGAACTAATTCGGCTGAACAACTTTATATATATAGATATATATAGTATAATTATGTACTCTATAGTGCTATGTACATTAATAATAGCGTCTGAACGACTTCGGTATTCGTCCGTTTTAAAGGTATATGCATCAGTTACAATGAGTCTGTAGTCAAAGGCAACTGACGTAAAAGTAAAGGTGAACTGTGCAACGTATCCTATCTCATTCACAGGAAATCTTGGCCTATACGTATCACCTTTACGAAACACCATACTTCGCTCATCACCTCTTCATGCACACACCATCTTACCGTCGCCATCGCAGATTTGACATGTTACCTTCATGTTGTTCGGTCCGTTAGCCTCACCATGCTGAAAGTCATTCACGCTGAGAGCAACCAGATACAGCGACATTTTCGGAGTGGTTTGAAACGAAGTGGCCGTCCATCCTTCTTCTAACGTGTCCGTGCCGATTACAGGCATGTTCGAAAGGGCGTTCATATCTGAATCACAAATACGACAAGACGATAATAGACCTGATGTGTGCCAGCGGAAAAGTGTTAAATATTTTTTGTGCTTGGCATGCTCCGGTGTGGAGCGACAGTTTCGAGTAGTAAGGATAGCTGCTAACGACGGCTGCTAAGCTGCTCGGTGTGCGCGTGTACCAAGAAAGATCGACCGCGGCCATTTTCAATATCGCTTGCTGTTCAATTCATAGCACCACTTACATTTTATTGCATGCATTGGAATGCATTGTAATTACATAAGAAATGCAATTTAACAGTGGTATGAGTATGAAAATTACGAGATACGAGGGTGGGAAAAATCCGTAATATGTCGGCTGCTTAAGCGTACAGCGGATTTCAATAGACATTATTTTGTACTCTTACGTAGATCATGCGCTAAAATGGTCTTACTTGTGCCATATTATATGGTTAAGTCATCCGTATGCTGTCACGCCTTCCTATTTTAATATCATGTACAGTATACGAGCGGCTTGAGAAAAGATATGCATACTTTTAGTTTGTCGAGCTACATGGAGATAACGGAGAAACGCATGTGTGGTTTCTTACCTGATTTATGCTCTATTCGAATGTTGAACTCGGCTTTGTACCTGGGTTCATCAAACGAAGGGAACACCTTCCTTCCAGCCACCGCCTCTAGCTGCGTCACCGCCAAATACCTAAACGTCAAGCCAGGCAGACTAATAACCTCCAAGCATTGGGGACGTGTTCAGGTTATACGTGCGTATGTGCATGTCTGTCTGCCTTATTTTTTAGTCTGTCCCTATTGTGTCATTACGTCTTTCGCCTAATCTCTATACCACTTCGTTTTTCTCTCTAGATTTGTCTCCCCTTCTTCCGTTCTATCTAGTTCGCGTGCGCGTGTATATGCGTGCGTCTACGTTCATACGGCTTCATTCGAGAAGCAACCACAACGAAAACCCTCTTATATTTATATGTCTTAAAATTCAGAAAATGTGTGAGCGCAAACCAATAAACATGTCGGCCATTACAAATGTGCCCGTAATTATATGAATAGGCTGATCAGGTTCATGTTCATTAATTGTCTTTGGAGCAACAATGTGCAGTCAATAAACTTAATTATTGCGTCACAAATATCATATGGACCTACCTCATCTGAGTATTTCCTTCTTCCGACCAGCCCATACTCTCCACGACTGGTCCTATCTTGTTTAAAATGTATTTCTACAGCAGATAATAGAAGTGGCTTCTAATTATTAGGCATAAAATTAACGCCGGTACGTGAATGATCATTAATATACATGTTAGATTTACGACCTCTGTTTATATATTTTAAATAAATATATCATTTTACGGAATGACATTTACAGTACCTTAAAAGTTCATACACCGAAACAGTTATGATTATAATAGATGGCGATCTAATGCTAGCATAGATACAAGTGTCAGTTTTTCTGCCGTGGCAGAGGTGCTCAGGTGAGGTATACTTCTAAACAGTATTTCGTGTGCTTCGCAATTAAGCGGAAAGAGGGCGGGGCAGTGAGGCAGCACAATAATTAATATATTCGTTCATCTCATCGTGGCATAATGGCATTACAACGAACCCGGACCCGGATATTAGTAAGTGCACTCCGGGTTATTGATTTCTCGTTGTTTACCCACCCGCACGCTAGCGTAGTGATCAGATCTAGCGAGCATCTGCGAGATGTAGCTCATGTGGTGGAGAAACACCTTCCACGGTCCGGCCTCCTCCTCTTTCAGCGACAGATAAGAGGCAATGCGAAATGGAATACGGTAGTCTATTTTCGAAGCCCTGCAACGGCAAGCGTCGACGGTGGGCGTCCATATATCATTTCCGTGAAAGAATTTCGTCTTCGTATTTTTGTTGTAAGTTCGCGAAGCGCGGCCAGTAGTTTATCTCGACCGAGTGAATAACCTCTCTTTCCCCTTCCCTCCCTTCCGACCTTCTCTCTCTCTCTTTTTCTTTATTTCTCGTCTCTCCCTCCCCCTCCCTCCCTCCATTTCTTTCGGTTTATCGCTCACATTCTCTTTCCCTTCTCTCCCTTTCTATCTATTGATTGTCAGAGACCGCTGGCTCAGCTAGCCTCGTAGCAACGATGGACCTAAATATACATGAACTTGGAAGTTGCTCTTAAATATGCAGCCAAATTTTGAAATCACAATGGCCATATTCGCATTAATAACGTGTAGTATTTTTCTAACGGACAATAGCATTAAGTCATCACAAAGCTGCACAGTTTGCATTCCCTCCCCCTATATATATATAATGAATGAATATATATATATGCATACATTTATAGTTATCAGAAAGTTCGCGGGTATGATTTCTTTACCTGGCCAGCATAAACGCGTGGTTGATTAATGTCATGCGTGTGGAGCCATCTATCGCCTGGAAACATAACGATATATAACATATAGACGACAAAGTCGTGGCTCTAGCAACTGCAGTATAGACTCTGAATATTTCTAATCACTGCGTGCTCATTTGACAACTACTGACGGCATGAATTATTAGGCAAATCACCGGAAATAATACAAGGATTCTACAATAGAACAAAAATTTAAAATGATTGGCAATAAATTAATGCTTGATCATGATGGCATGACAGCGTAACGTACGTAATGGTTCGAGTTAAGGACTTCGGCCAGGCGATTCCAGTTTTCCTCCCAGTAGTTTACGAGATAAAAACCATGAGCGCCAATGTTACCAACTATCCAATAATCTTCTACTACGTTCGCTGAAATTTCGACTTCGCTTCCATCTGAAAATATAACAAATTTTACTTTCAATGGTTTCACACAGAAAAACTCGATAGTAACTTACTAGTAGGAAATAATAAATAATTGATTCATTGGTTTTTGGTGCCCTGCTCATATAGGCCTACATAGAATTGGTTTGGGATTTCAAAACGCAATGCGGGTATATATATATATAAATATATATACTATATATATATATATATATATATATATATATATATATATTATATAAGTATTCTGTAACCAGTATTACATTCCCCAAACAAACCTTTCGCATCCAGACGATATCATTAGTATCTCCTATATCTGACGTTTTGTATGTAAACGGAATTTCCCACTTGTACCTGAATATTGAGGAATTGAAATATAAACATTAATATGCGCAACATAATGATTAAAAGATATAGCAACCATCGTTTAGAAGCACAGAGCGCCATTTGTAGATGCCATTTGCATGTACTAATGTATTCTGTTCTTCAGTATAATGTGGAATAATGCTGATCGATACAAACTCATAACGTAAACGTCAGCACGCACAATAAAAGATGCTACCGAAAGTTGGTAAATGTAAACGTCGGTTAGTGCAAGCATGTTGGCGAAAAGTAGCGTATCAAACGAGTGATTTGAACCTATTAAGAGAATAAAGCGAATAAAATGATCGAATAATTATAATTTACTGATATTGGCTTTCCCGAGATGTTTGATGTGTCCATCGGATTCAAACAGAACTCTCCTGGGAGAGGCTGAGTGTTGTGGAGCTGGTGTTGGTCACGTGAACAACTGATAACCCATCTGTGTCAGCCACGTGTTCATAATACCGGAATATCGTACTTCCCATCCATCGTCTAAGAACAATAATATTGACGTTAATTTAGTTACATAAAAATTGCCATTTTGTACATTTTTGTACTATATATAATGGTGACCGATTATTTATGTATTATTTATATTACGATATTCTTGATTTATTCTTTTACTCAAAAAACGTTATTTCACAGAAAACAGACACTAAATTTGTCATTATAGGTAAACTACACATGATCGCCCACCGGTGGCCTCACTCACCTCTTCTAGGTGCCATAAATCTGCAATCTTAGCATTACTGAGTTCGTACTTCTTAATGTATTTCTGTCGATAATAATAAAAACAAAAAACGTCATTCAACGTCAATGAAGAATATAATATTACTGTTCTCCGTCAAGTCGCCGAATGGGCTATGCTACACTGCTCACACGCTACCTTTTGAATTGAAGCATGCATAAGAAGATATACACACCCTCATTCCAGCCTGGAACTGATCGGCACCATAAAGTTCCTTAGCAGTT